TATATATATATATATATATACACATCTGTGTCAGTGTAAATTACTTGTACCCGATGATGACAAAACCTTGCCAAAACGTTGTACATTTGCTGTTATGAAACTTTAATTAAAGTTTTTCTTCATTATCCATTCAAGCCATCTCCAAGCATTATTAGTCTCAAAGTGAGTTTCTCGTCATTGAAAATGTTAAGATTTAAATTTATTTCCTTACGAATTGTATGTGTGAGTTGTGGATTGATGGCATTAGAAACAGAGGGTAATAAATATTTCGTTGCAGGCCTAGATCTAGTCTTGTTCTTTATCATAGCTGTATTTTTTGTAGAAAGTTTTTACTTTTTCTCCATGACAGCCGTGAGGGACCAATTGATCCCTTATTGTCCATACATTTTATTTTTGTTAATTATGAATTTACAGAATATCTTCTTGGTGATGTAACTTGTGCTGTTAACTATTCACATTTTTGTTAGATAGGTATAATATAGTTGTAATAATTACACTTCATTTAAGTTATTGCTTTTAGTGGTTTAAATAGTGAAAGAGCTGAGTGGCCTTATATCACCACACTTATGTCCTTTCTTGTTTATAAATTTCAATACTAATTTGAATGATTCAAAGCAAACAAGAGTTAGCAAAATCTTCTGTAGAATAATTAAGAAACAGATCTGAATGATAAAAATAGTGCCATGCTAAAATTTTTAGTAAAAATACTAAGTCCGTATAAATCCACATAACCATTACTGTTCCAAGCTGAAGACTTTGCTTGCATGAAATATTTGAAAAAATTCCATACAAAACTTAACAATCTATTAATAATTAATTACCTATACTGATAAAACACTTACAACTAAAATAAGCTGTTATTGTTCATGGTAATGACACTGACAGTAAGTGAGTAACACTTGACTTGAACTTCCCCCATTTTTCTTTTTGTATGAAGCTGTGAATCCTTTTTTCTGTAGGCTTATATGTTATAATAACGAACCATAGTTTACAAAGAAAACCTAGGCTGTAGTTAAAACTAATAAAAATATAAGGACCTATGACTAACTTACCTTTGGACTGGTTATATTACGGATAATGCATTTCAATGCCATAGGCATAATACCTAATAGTAATAGAAACAAATAAACGAGCCACACAGTGCCAACGCGCTCTTCAGACCACTGCACTAACTAGTGCTAGTCGGGCGTTAGTACTACTACTACTAGTACTGTAGTGAGCCCAGAATTAATACTTAACACTACAGTATAACAAAACATCAGTTTCATATGCTTTACTGGCAACACTAATAAGATAAAAATTTACCTAAAAGCATTTTACAAACTTAGAAGACAAAAATAACTTACGATAATATAATATTTTTATTCGAAAACATAAGAATACAAAATTTAACACAGTTTCCAATGTCAGCTGTAAGCCGCCATATCTATTAAGGCATGATATGAAACAGGAACCCTGGTGAGTAGTCGTGGAAACAAAAAGGAAACTACCTACAGAGAACAGAACTCAATATTAACCAGTCAATTATGTAGTTAATTTAATGACTCAGCGGTAATTCTCAAGGATTATAACGCTAAAAACTGGGTTTCGATACTCGCGGTGGGCACACCACAGATAGCCCATTGTGTGGCTTTGTGTTTAAGTTAATCTTATATATCAGTCTAACTAGGAGTATCCTCTCTCTTTTCAATACTTTTGGCTGTAAATTGAAATATTGAGAGAAACAGAAAGTATAATTAAAAAGGAAATGTCAACGTTTCTTTAATTTAATGAACAGGACAAACTTTATAGCATAGTTGTTTTTATGCTGTCGAAGTGGTTTCTATTGTTGGGTAGGCTCTTTTGTATTATTCGATTAAAGCAAAGCGAATGCAAAGCTAGGTCCGGCGTTTCATGGACAAAAGTTCTACAAATTGGTTTAACTGACATATACCGATAAATCTAAGTTCACTGTGAACGATATTACAACAAATTCACTTGCTTGTTAGCTTTCTCCGAAGTAAGGCGTTTCTTCTATCTTTATTTTTTGTCGAAAAAGAAATTCAGTATTTACAAAACCGAACTAACTAGCTATCTATTGAGATTAATTTTTTGTTTGTTTCTGGTTTTGCTAAATTTCACTCTTAGTTACTCGAATGTTATCTGCGTTAGCTGTCTGTGTATTAGAAAGGGTAGAAATGGAACTAATATTAATAAACACCACACTCCACCATAGTTTAAGTCACTCTAATAGAATAGTAAGATTGACCTTTACGTTATACGCCTTCACGACCGAAAAGGCTTACCTTTTCGGTGAATGATGGAGTTCGAACTTGCCAATCTACAGAGTGTGAATCTAGCGCTCTAACCACCAGACCATGTACATTAACATACAAGTTAGTTAACAAATTCGCTACTCAGTAATCAATCATACAGTACATCGGGCTTGCATATCAATAATGAACTACTTTAGCTAACTTGCTTTTTATATAGCTCAAATCATTTCTTAAACTTTCAAGAAGGCTCTTAGTCATTAAGTCAGGTACATCATGTGACGTCAACAACTTCTGGCCAACAACAATTTAAAACAATTACAATTTAAAGAACCAGCCTAAAAAATTAATACATAGAAAACCTACGTTTAAAAAAGAAAGAAAGTCTGAATGAGTATGATTTCCCTGAATTAAAGACGTTTATCAATTATTCACAAAATTTTCTTGTTTAGCTCAACTTTTTGGGGTTGCTTTCAGTTCGTCCATGAAGAATTAATGAAAGTTTACTTACCGAAAGTGCTTGGGTTATGAGGTTTATACTTTTATAATTTGTTTAATTTTTTATTCCAGTGTGTTTTTCTATGAAGTTTAAATTTTCAAAAAAGCCATGTTAATTAGTGCGTAATATATTTTCTAATACAAAAGCAAGCAATAATTTTGTCAACGTTTTGTCATTTTGACACTCTTGAACGCTATAATTGCAATAACAGGTAACATTTAATAAAAGAAATGCAAAAGTTTGAAACATTTTAACATTTTGGAACCTAGTCTTGAAAGGTTTGTATTATTAGCGTGTTTTTTAAATGACTCTACTTCAGGGTTTATAGCTAAAAGTCGGGATTCGTGAACGACACAGTGCAAATAATCCAGTACGTAGTTTTGCCCAAAAAGAGAACAAAGAAACTCAAATTTTTATATAAATTAAAAACTTCACACATACGTGTATTTGGTTGAGACAATTATATTTTATTAGATAATAAAAATTATTGTTTCAAAAAATTGCTTCTAATAAAGAATACAATTTTCAAAATTAACTAGTCAAAATCTTCTCCACTGAAGGGAAAGCAGAGTTAGCTGAGGTAATCAATTTGTCACTGATGGATGGGAAAATAGAGAAAGACATTATCTACATTATTGTTCTATGGCTGTGGTGGCCAAACCCTTTAGAGAACATTGCATACTGAATAGATATAGAACAATAGAAATGACAAATATATGGGTAAAGCTCATGGGTAGCAGCTTAAGATTCGTGTGGGACATGGAGAAGATAATCTGTTTGCTTACAAAGATGAAAGAGGCAGGACCAAAGAGATTAACAACCTAAAACGTTGAGGTACTTATACACAACATCCAGTAGTGTATAACAGACATTACAACACTTCTATTTGACCTTGAAGATGTCTACAATTAAGTGGATATTGGCATTTTGGCAGCGAAGCTAAAGGTCTTGGGAGTCTCACACATTTTCATATGATGTACATTAGCTGTGTTAAATACCAGGAGCTGTCAGTTGAAATTTGGCATATATAAACCTTAAACTTTTGAAATCAGCTTTGGCTACCTACTGAGTACAGTTCTCTTCAACGTATACAATAGCCAATGTATTAGAAGGCCCTGAAATGACACCATTATATATGTGTGTTGGCGATATAATTGTCGCAAGCATTTTACACTCGCCAATGGATTCGGTAGAGGACCTGTAAGAAGCCAGCAAAAACCTATGTCAGTGGGCTATAGATAGAAAAATGTCTATCCAACCAGATAAAGCCAACTGGATGGTGGATATCAGATCTCAAACAGACAACTCTCTCTTCACACTGATATATATGGACAGAAGAGTTTTGTTACTTTTCTGGGTATTGTGATGGGCCACAGAATAGCAATATCTGCATATATTGTTATTCTGAGACAGAAACTAGTGAAGAGTCTTACTATTCTCAAAGATGCTTCAGCCCAGAAAAAAGCAAAGGAGACTTATCAATCTGTTGAAAGCAAAAGGAATGACCAGAATGGAGTATGGAATCCATTTGTGTGCTTCAGCGGCAAAGACAGCAATGACTTTACAGAGGGTCCATAATGCAGCGATAAAAATAGCAATAGGATCAGCAAAACCAACATACCTGTCTTGGTTTGAGCAACATTACTACTCAGAGGTATCACAATAATTTCTCACCCACTATATCCTCATTTGAGAGGGAGAGAATGAGCAGATGAAACAAAAACACAGAGACTGAAATCAGCTAAGTCATGGATCAGTAAGACCAAAAAAGATGCATCGAAAGTATTGAATTGGCCTAAGCAGATGCCATTAAGTTAAACACAATGAAACATGGCAGCAGGATGGGGAGGGAGAGATCAACACGGCTAAAGTTATGATATGGATATATAAGCAGAGACCTACACTGATCATAGCAACAGATTGCTCAGTCAGGAACGATGTGACTGCATGGGTATGAGCTATGTGGAGAGATGTATATCTAGTGTTTGAATGATCAGTAACAAAACTTGGCTTTATAGTTCATTTAGAACAATATGTGAGGAATATGAGGATGCACTTAATTTGTTGATCAGTAACAGTGAAGACCATGACAGGATTATACTCCTAACAAAACACGGGCAAAATATTTGAGAAACTTGAATAATCATCTGATAATGATCTATTTCATTTGTAATCTTATGGTTTTATGGTACAGTTGAAAGTAAAACTGAATGGGGCAGATACTGAAAATCTGCTTAGGGAAGCTTAATAGCTATAGTTAGCGCTGAGTCTGCATAATATTCATATATAATTTCACTATAAAAGGCATCCAACAATACAGAGCTTAAAGAGTAATGTTATAGATGGAGGTGTGGGATGCCTTTTACTATTTTGAGGCACAGCTCACGAACCGTTCGTCCAATGCAAAGATATCTATCTATGTTTTAAGCCCGAAATTAAACGTTACTTTCGTTTAGCGTTGGCTTCACGTATTTTGCTAATGACATCATTACTTAGTTGATCCATTGTTTGCGGCATTAAGGCAGTCAAATTGAAATTGCTGCTAAACTCGAATAGCTCCTTCGATTGCTCATATAGTTAAATATAGGTTGGGTCCTTCGTCAAACAGCATCGAAATCGGTTAAGCTAGTTACTAACACGAACTTGTGGCACCAGACAGAAGTACAACTTTTCTTTACATATAGAGTGATTTAAAGCGTTTAATCTAAGAACAGCGCCATGTAGCGACGTGTAATAAAACTTCCTAGTTTGATTTGAGCAAAATCGTTTTTGGGGACAGTGGAGCATTCTCTGTAAGAGTGACGGTCAAATGCTACTATTTCATGAAACAAATGCCCCGGTGGGTCAGTGGTAAGTTTACGAACTTACAAAGCTAAACACTATGATTCAATTCCCCGCGGTGGACAGGGCATAGATCGCCCATTGTGTGTCTTTGCACTAAAACAAATAAGTAAAACCACAAATGATAAGGCAAGAGTAACTCAGAAATTGGCGGGAGGAGGGGTCTGTAAAACAGCCGCCATCCCTCTCGAAATTAGGTTCGGCTATGCACAGTTAGTCCTTGTATATCTCTGCGTCAGATTCTAAAAATAATCAAAGTGCAATGTCTCTGAAACACAGGTAAACAATTTTTTATCACATTTTCCGAACATCTTGTGCGCATCCTCCTTAATTGTACATAACCTGTTCAATTCCGTATATTGTTAATATGAACTTCTGAGTGCAAGTAAAGTAAATCGTCTAAGATAAAGCAACCTTCCAAGTGTACATATTTTAATGTTGTTACCATAATAGTAATTGGTTTGTCTTTATAATCCTATTATATATATAAGTTTTATCATTATACAGTATGTTAATGTTGTTTGTCGTAAACCTTACTATTATTGTTCAGTTTAAGGAACTGAAAATATTTGGTTTAAAAATATACGAAATTTTCTATGCAGTGCAGATGATGATCAAAGCTATAAGCATGTTTATTGTGATACCCAAGAAACCGTATTCAAGTGTACATAACTTTTGGGAAATGAGATTAAAGGAGACAAAGGATATAATATAAAAAATAGAATAAAAACGAGAAAAGT